CATTCATTTTCTCTGTGGTATCTTCAGTGTCTGAGATTCTTTCTTCTATCTCTTGTATTCTGTTGGTAATACTTGTCTCTATAGTTCCTGTTTCTTTACCCAGATTCTCCATCCCCAGCCTTCCCTTGGTTTGTGTTTTCTTCATTACCTCCATTTCATTCTTCAAGTCTTGAGCTGTTTTCCTTACCTGTTTGATAGCTCTTTCTTGTTTCTCTTGTTTTTCTTGGGTATTTTTGAGAGGTTTATTCATTTCCTCTACCGTTTTGTTTGTCCATCACTATTTCTTCATGGCAATTTTTCACCTCCTGTTTAAGGTCCATTTTCACATAGCTCAATTTAAAGTCGATATCTTCGATTTCTTCTGGAGTAGGGTGTTCGATTCTTCTTGTTTTGGTATCTTTAGATTCTGGTGATGTCATGTTACCTTTCAGGTTGTTGCAGGAATTCTTGCATTGGCACCAGCCCATCACTTCCTTCAAATGAAGCCAGGAGAGGCCTGGTGTCTTGGTCTAGTCTTTGCTGTGACTGATTCTCTTGGTGAATCTCCTCAGTGTAGAAGCAGGAACTGTTCCTGTCTGTATGGAACTCCTCAGCACTATCCAAATGGAACTCCTTAGCACTGAAACAGGGACGCCTGGTAGCCTAAGGACCTGCAGAAAAAAAGGGCTAATGTGGGGAACAAGGCGGGGTCGAGTAGAACACAGGAGACCCTGCATCACAAGCTGAAGGTGCCCACACTTCCTTGCTGGGGACCTTCAGGCCTGCCTGGTAGGCAGGCACTCACCCCTCTGGGTGGGTAGCCTTGGTGCAGGAGCAGGAAACTGTTCCTGAGCCAAGGACCTTGCAGACAACAGGGCAGGCTTGGGGGGTCTAATTTGTATTTCTTAACTATACATTGCATCTTTAAATGAGCTGCACAAATATAATACCTTAAACAAGAACACACATACACACACACACACACACACACACACACACACATATATATATATATATATATATATATATATAAAACAGTTGACCTTAAATTTTTATCATTAGTTCAAAATCTATACAAATACAATGTATTATCTCTGTATCATGGCTCCTTTAAATGTAAACAAATGTTTATAAGCAATATTGGGGAATTTGGTAGTAGTTCTCTCCATACTGCTTCCTACTTTTTGTTTGTAGGGATCTCTGCATGGGCTTGCATCAGCCCCTGGAAGAAGCCTCTTTAATAACAAGTAGGCTAAACAGCAATCTATGATAATAGCAGAAAATAGTTATGAATCATTTCATTGATATTTTTTTCTTGGTCAACTGTATTTGGTTCTACCCCTGTTCTGAGCCATTCAATTTCTGGTTCCTGGCCATCTAGGCAGTGTCACTTATGGACTTCCTCTCACAGTATGAGTTTCAAGTTAGACCAGTCATCTATTGGCCACTAAGAAAGCTCTAAGCCACCAGTGTCCCAGCATATCTTGCAGGTAGTACAAGTGTGGGTTGAATGTTTTGTGGCTGGCTTTGTGTCACAGTTCCACTGGGAACCTTATGTGGTTACAGAAGATGGCTAGTTAAGCCTCCTCTTGAGTACTAGGAGTCCTCACTAGGGTTACCTTTGTAGGTTCAGGAAAGTTTTCGCTATACTGTTTCTACATCCCCTGTTAAAAGTTCCCCTATTCCAGTTATCTCTCCCTGTCTTCTCCCCATCTGTCTTTTCTTCACTCACCTGATCCTTCCTGTTCCCATCCCCACCTGCCTCCACTGCACCCATAAAATCTGTTTTATTTCTTCTTACCAACGAGATGCATTCATCTCTTGTAGAGCTGTTCTTGTTACTTAGCCTCTCTGTGTCTACGGATTGTACTGTGATTAACTGTGATTACTGTGATTATACTTTACTTAACTGGTAATATCCACCTATAAGTAAATACATACCATGTTTATCTATGTGATTCTGTGTTTCCTCACCTAGGATATTAAAGAACTGAAAAAACTAGACAACAACAAACCAAATAATCCAATTATAATGGGGAACACCTCTAAACAGAATTCTCAGTAAAGGAATCTAAAGTGACTGAGAAACACCTGAAGACATGTTCTACATCCTTAGCCATTAGGGAAATGAATATCAAAACTACTTTGAGATTTCATCTTACAAGTCTTAGAACTGATAAGGTCTATAAGACAGGTGACAGCTAATGCTGGCAAGGACATATAGCAAGGGGATTCATTGCTGTCACAAGTGCAAACTTGTACAGCCAATGTAGAAATTAATATGCAGTCCTCAGGAAATTGGGAGTCAATCTACCTCAAGACAGATGTATACCACTCTTGAACATATACCCAAAAGATACCACCACAAGGACATTTGCTCAACTGTGTTCATAGTGGCTTTGTTCATAAAAGCCATAAACTGCTATATCTGGGAGAGATTGTGTTGATTGATGATTGATGTGTGATGGCTCCTCCACTGTGGGTGGCAATATCTCTAAGAAAGTGGGCTTGGGATACAAAAGGCACCAATCTGACTAGGCAAGAGAGAAAGCCATGAAACACTCCTTGTCCATGTATTTTTGCCTTCAATTATTAGCTTGCTTTTCTATCCTAAGCTCCCAAAATGATGAAGACAAATTACCCCCACTCATTGTCTGAGCTGCTTTTCATTAAAAGATTTAATTGGAGATATATAAATGCAAGTTAGAACAAAAAATGGAGAACCAAAAGTAATATTGTTGCTAGACAGAACCTGGGAATGATGTCTCTTGGAAGAGTATAGAAGATATCAAAACTTTAGGTGGCAAAAATATTAGAAAGTAGTACACAGAATTAATTAGCTGTTCTTGTCGGATCAGAAAGATGGAAATGTTAAGAGAGATGACAGAAAGTGGAGATTGAAATCATAGAATTTCAGTTGAAATTGATTAAGCTGGAGGTTATTTGTGTAATATTTTGGCTCCAAAATATTTCTTTTTCTGCCTCTGACCTGGAAATTTAGTAAAGCAGAATTTAAAAAATATGAGCTAATTCCTTAAATGGAATATTGAATGTGGTGGATGGTTATTACTGATGATTCATTCAAGACTATAGTGAAAAATAAACACCAAGTGGAGCAGAAATAAATGAAAATGAAAAGGCAGTTTCTTATGGCAGTCAATTACTGGAACAGGCAGGGATTTTCGAGGATTTTATCACCATTATAGAGAAGGCCCTTGCTATAGAATGGAAGCCTAGCAAGGTGCTCTAAGGGTAAGACTCCATTCACATAAGCATTCAACTTATGGAAGGCGTAAGCAAAGTGATTCTTAACCGTAACCCTAAACGCATTTTTCTTCTTTGGTTACCATGAGCCTATAGTGACCCAGGTCAGGATGTAATTGATTGAATGAAAACCTCTCATATAGGAAGATGTATTTGAACATGTCCCTCTTCTTGTCAACTTTCATTTGATTGCTTGTGAATCCAGCCAGAGGAGGAGCCTTTCTGGATGAAATTCCTCACTGGACATGTGATATGAGTTTCTATAGCCTCAACCTATTCCCTGTTCTTTGTGCCTGCTATGTTGTGGTTGAAACTAATCAGTCAGCTTTCTTCTTTTGCTGTCATGACTTTCCTACCATTATAAACTCTATCACCAAATCACATAAGATTCAGCAAAATTAACTGCTATTTGATCCTAAGACAGTTTGGATCATTTTTGTTTGTTTATTTCTGAATACAAGATTTGTCTGTATAGCCCTAGATATCCTGCAAGTTGCTGTTTATACCAGGCTGGCTTCAAACTCAGAGATCCCCTGACCCTGATTCCCAAGTACTGGGATTAAAAGTGAGCCTTGATTTTTTTTTGTTTTTATATTGTTGTATGATGGTTTTGTTCCTATCAAGCATATACTGAGCTTCACCCATATCTTGAATTTTAAAATTTGACAGAGGGTATCATTATGTTTCCCAGGATGGCATGTATTCATGACATTGACACTGGTTGTGCTTTCTGAGTCATTGGATTGCAGATGCATCACCTTCTTCCGTCCTGTTTTGTTTTGTTTGAATTTTTATTTTAATATGAGTATTTACTTGTACATGGATATGTACCATGTGAGTGCCTGATCCTTACATTGATTAAAAGATGGAACTAGGAACCGTGAACTTGGAATAATGAATAGTTGTGATCCCCCCATGTAATTCCTTGAGTCAGACCAGGAGTACTCTTTACTGTTGAAACATCTTTCCTGCTCAGTGTTGATTATTTGTAATCAACATATATATCTGATGCTTTCATTTGTCCAATTATAACTTTTTAAACATCCAGTGCCTTTTAGTAAAATCTTATTTATGTTGCAGTTTAAATTGAGACACTTCAGGTTTCTCATAGATGAATAAAGAGCTGGAGTAAATAGATAACTCTTTTCAGGAACTACAGCAAAAACCTCTGAGTTATTTCTATATTTTATGTTTGTTTGATTGACTTTTAAATGGAAACAGATCCTTAATATATATTTATGGCTGTCCTAGAAGTGATTGCATGGACTAGGCCATTCAACTCAGAGGCAGATAGATATATGCCTCTGCCTTCTGAGTGCAAGGATTAAAGGCATGATTCAATACACCCAGCTTGACTATCTTATTTTTCTTTTTTTGTTAGAAATTAATCATCCATACAATTTCTCTCATTTGTACTCTGTACTGTTGATCTGTTTACTTATCTTTTATTGTTTGTTAATAGGCATTTCAAAGGGTTCATAAATTACAGAGACGAATCTTCCATTCAGTTTGTTTCTAAAGTGACTTGGTAATTAAATTATGTCTATTTCATAGAATAAGTATGGGGAGCACCAAAGTTATATGACTATACTTTCAAAGAAGTATACATTTGCAGTGTTGTCAAAGTCATGATTTCTGTTGTACAAATGTATGGAATATTTCAGAATGCAGTGACCTATGAGGATGTACATATCGACTTCACTTGGGAAGAATGGACTTTGCTGGATCCTACCCAGAGGAGTCTCTACAAAGATGTGATGTTGGAAACCTACAGAAACCTTACTAGTATAGGTAAGACTGAATTATATTTCATGTTTTAAAATAAGGGGACAATTGTTCATTGGTAACTGGTGCTCTTTTGTAATATGATTGAGGAAGAAGAAGAATGAAATGAATAAATCAGGCATGGCTGTAAGGTTCAATGCAAATGGTAACTAATTTTTTTTTACACATTTCAATATATAACATACATATTCTGGCATTATATTTTAGGATACAGTTGGGAAGACCATAATATTGAAGAACATTGTCAAAGTTCTAGAAGACATGAAAGGTAATTTTCATGTGTAAGCTGATAGAATTGTAGTATCTCTGAAGAATGTGTAATGCATCCTATAAGCTTTAAACAAAAGCAACAGTGTAAATACTAAAGTGCATTGATGATTTTTGAATTCTCACAAAATCATATACCTTAATTTCAGATAAGTGAACTGCATTTGCAAGCCATTCTTTGAAGAAGGAAGATAAGGAAACAATGTCTTAACCTATATTAAAATTTGAGTCATAATATGATGAGAGCTATGTTGTAGAATTATCAATCCATTTATTTCATGAATATATACATATAAAATATATACATATTGAAAAGGTGATAAGTATCTCTCTAAAACTCTATTATACTAATAGTCCATAGAAAAGGTAGGTTAACTCATATACTTGTGACTGTGCAAAGTTTAGTGAGGGGGCAGTTAAAGTCAACAGTCAAGAGGCAGCTGTTATGGAGAGGCCTTAATCCATATACCACAAGTCTATGAACATAAAGTCAAACTGTGTGAACTCAATGTGGAAACCTTATATTTGTTATTTTTCTTTTACTAGGTATATCATATGTTACTCTGGATACAAGCCCCATGAGCATAGGGATGTGAAAATATATAACATACCTTTTTCTCAGAACAATTAGAAGATATGTTGCAGTTCCCATGTTGAATATACTTGTTGAATTTGTTGGACAAGTATATAAGTAATTGGTTTTCTAGCCTCATTGTTAATATATCAGTAAGCTCACATTTCAGAAAAGCATCATGAGTACTAAGACTGTGTAAGTACTTCTGTTTGTCATAGTTCACTTACCAAATGTAGTATCACTCACAATATAGGAAACTTTATGAATGAAACAAGGGTGGTGAAGCTCTGAGATTTTTCAGTTCTCTTCAAATAGGTAAAAATTCTCATATAGAAAAAAGATTCTGTAAATGTGAACCATGTAATAAAGGCTGTTATCTATTGTCTTCAAAGATGCAAAACAAGCCTTAATGAAGGGGATCAACAAGATTGTAAACATGGTGATAAAACCTTAAGATATAATTTCTCTTTAAAATTGGACCAATTGTAAAATTAATTCATACAGATAAAAATATTCAACAATGAATGTGCTAATTCTTTCACATGTACCACTATCATTACAGGCATGAAAAAAGTCAAACTAGAGAGAAAACTTCTATATATACTCAATGTGTTAAAGCCTTCACATGTGACAGTCATCTACACAGGCTTGAAAGAACACATACTAGATTGAAACCCTATGAACATAACGAATGTGGTAAAGCCTTTTTACATCACAGTCCTCTTCAGATACAAAAAAGAACACATACTGGAGAGAGGGCCTGTGAATGTAATCAGTGTTGTAAAGTCTTTGCACATCACAGTCATCGACAAGTACATAAAAGAACACATACTGGAGAGAAACGCTATAAATGTAATCAGTGTGGAAAAGCCTTTTCACACCATTGTCATCTACTATTACATAAAAGAACACATACTGGAGAGAAGCCCTATGAATGTAATCAGTGTGGAAAAGCCTTTGCACGACACAGCCATCTTCAACGTCATGAAAGAAGCCATACTGGAGAGAAGCCCTATGAATGTAATCAGTGTGGAAAAGCCTTTGCATGTCACAGTTATCTCCAAAAACATGAAAGAACCCATACAGGAGAGAAGCCCTATGAATGTAATCAATGTGGAAAAGCCTTTTTACACCATGGTCATCTACAAGAACATAAAAGAACACATACTGGAGAGAAGCCCTATGAATGTAATCAGTGTGGAAAAGCCTTTGCATGTCACAGGTATCTCCGAAAACATGAAAGAATCCATATTCGAGAGAAGCCCTATAAATGTAATCAGTGTGGAAAAGCCTTTGCATGGCACAGCCAACTTCAATGTCATGAAAGAAGCCATACTGGAGAGAAGCTCTATGAATGTAATCAGTGTGGAAAAGCCTTTGCATGGCACAGCCATCTTCAACGTCATGAAAGAAGCCATACTGGAGAGAAGCCCTATGAATGTAATCAGTGTGGAAAAGCCTTTGCACGACACAGCCATCTTCAACGTCATGAAAGAACCCATACTGGAGAGAAGCCCTATGAATGTAATCAATGTGGAAAAGCCTTTGCATGGCCTGATCATCTACAAGAACATAAAAGAAGCCATAGTGGAGAGAAGCCCTATGAATGTAATCAGTGTGGAAAAGCCTTTGCATGTCACAGTAGTCTCCAAATACATAAGAGAAGACATACTGGAGAGAAGACCTATGAATGTAATCAGTGTGGAAAAGCCTTTGCACGACACAGCCATCTTCAACGTCATGAAAGAAGCCATACTGGAGAGAAGCCCTATGAATGTAATCAATGTGGAAAAGCCTTTGCATGGCATTGTGATCTACAAGAACATAAAAGAACCCATACTGGAGAGAAGCCCTATGAATGTAATCAGTGTGGAAAAGCCTTTGCATGTCACAGTTATCTCCGAAAACATGAAAGAAGCCATATTCGAGAGAAGCCCTATAAATGTAATCAGTGTGGAAAAGCCTTTGCATGGCACAGCCAACTTCAATGTCATGAAAGAAGCCATACTGGAGAGAAGCTCTATGAATGTAATCAGTGTGGAAAAGCCTTTGCATGGCACAGCCAACTTCAACGTCATGAAAGAAGCCATACTGGAGAGAAGCCCTATGAATGTAATCAGTGTGGAAAAGCCTTTGCATGTCACAGTTATCTCCGAAAACATGAAAGAAGCCATATTCGAGAGAAGCCCTATAAATGTAATCAGTGTGGAAAAGCCTTTGCATGGCACAGCCAACTTCAATGTCATGAAAGAAGCCATACTGGAGAGAAGCTCTATGAATGTAATCAGTGTGGAAAAGCCTTTGCATGGCACAGCCAACTTCAACGTCATGAAAGAAGCCATACTGGAGAGAAGCCCTATGAATGTAATCAGTGTGGAAAAGCCTTTGCACGACACAGCCATCTTCAACGTCATGAAAGAACCCATACTGGAGAGAAGCCCTATGAATGTAATCAATGTGGAAAAGCCTTTGCACGACACAGCCATCTTCAACGTCATGAAAGAAGCCATACTGGAGAGAAGCCCTATGAATGTAATCAGTGTGGAAAAGCCTTTGCACATCACAGTCATCTCCAAATTCATGAAAGAAGACATACTGGAGAGAAATCTAATGAATGTAATTAGTGCGATAAAGCCTTTGCTTATAGGATAGTTATTTTGAAGGTGCCTCAATGCCTGTGTTAGAGGAATGAATGTTTATACGATAGAAACTTTCATGTGTGAAAAAGTGTTTGTTTAAAGAGTTGTTTTAATTGTAATTGTGTGATGTCATTATATGTTTGTGTGAGTATGTAAAGTTTTCATGTTTGCTTCTGAGAATGTTTGACCCTCGGATCTTCTTGTAGCAAGAATTACAGGAAGTTGTCAAAAATTAGGCCTTGGTCCTAGGAATGAATATTTCTTAATTGCCCAGCTGTGTTTCTAGTGCTGCAAATATTTTAAAGCCTGTTTGTATCATGTTGAAGTCAAGAAATAGGGATAAACACATATGAGAGAAAAACTCTATTCCTGAAAATGATTTTGTAAAGACGTTGGACATCACAGTTGTCTTCAGCTTCAAGAAAAAAAAAACATTTTTCATTTATTTTTTTGTAATAGCCTTGAAGGAAGTAAATTAGTACCATGTTCACTGTAGATTGATGTTAGAGATCACTTCATTGTGGTTTCTACTTTGAAACATTTGAGGTAGATTCTAAAATGTGCTTCATGTGTGACAAATTCATTTCTTGCCTCTAAGACTTTCCAGAAATTAGAAAAATCACAAAGCTTGATTTATCAAGACTTGCTGTGTGAGTGTAGCCAAAGTTTGGCTTCAGAATATGTGAACTATGAGGGAAAGGGTACTGGAACATGCACACAAGGGACACCATATATTGGAAGAGGAACAAAAAGTGCTCTGAGAGACTGGAAAAGTTTCTACTAAAATACCAATTTTTCAAACTAGAGCCCTGTGTTTCCCTAGGGTGTAATGGCAGAGCTGGGAAGGGCTGTGCTGGCTTAGTAATTTGATTTCTGCTCATCTAGTAAGGGAACTTCTACTGTCTTGAGGCTCAGCTGGGCAATTCTAGCTCTTGAGGGACTCTGGGCAAGCCTCACAATCAGGAGCACCAGTGGGAAAGTAGATTGTGATCTATGAGGGAGCCAATAGGGAGCCATGTGTGTTGTTTTTCTTTTTACCTAAATTGTATATTTGATTTCTACCTCCAGTTCTTATCCCACCTTCCTCTGCAGAGGTAATACTAACTACCATTATGGGATCGGGGGAATGACTGTTCTGGTTTGTTTCAGCTGAATTTTTTTTTAATTTATTTATTATGTATACAGTATTTTCAGTATTCTGTCTGCATGTATTCCTACAGGCCAGAAGAGCGCACCAGATCTCACAACAGATGGTTGTGAGCCACCATGTGGTTGCTGGGAATTGAACTCAGGACCTTTGGAAGAGCAGGCAGTGCTCTTAACCACTCAGCCATCTCTCCAGCCCCTCAGCTGAATTTTTTTTGGCATCAGGTGGTAGTATTATGGTACCTTTCCATAGAGCCTCTCATAAAGACCAAAGTCTCAGATGTAGACAGAGTTCTCTGGGAAGCACTAACATATCCAAAGTCCATAAGACATTCTTGACGGACTCACAATAGCTTCCATCTGCTAGAGGTTTCCATTTAACTTCTACAGTTGGACTCAATAGTGATGAGCCCACATCTAACTGTCACACCATTTTATACCTGTTTCATCAGCCAAAAGTCAGCATGATGCCCTCCCCATTTGACTTCTGGATAGGGAGAAGAGAGGTATTTAGTATCATTTAATTTGGAGGTTAAAATAATCCTGAGCCTGTCCTTCTTTGCTGTGTGGAGGTGCTCTAGTAGCCAAGGTCTGATGTCTCACATCCGTACAGAATCTTTTTATCAAGAAAATATTACTGAGATTGGCTATCTAACTAACATCTCATGTAGACTTACATCCAATGTCTGTGGAGTGTGAACCGTTGTGTTGTTAGCAATCCTCTTATCCTTTCATTAAAATTTCTTGTTGAGTACTAAAGGCCAATGCAGGTGTCAAAAATTAATCTTTCTTTCTGTGTTGTCAAGGCCAGTTGAGCATCTAGTCTTTAGAGGTCACTTGTGCTTGGAAGGAACCTCAGATTCTTCATGTCTCTCTGTTATCAGTTGTCCATCAATGTGAGGATAAGTCAAAAGCTTTGCTTTATGTACTGTGGCTTCCTTTGAAGCCTTGAAGAAATCTTTCCCACATTGATCCTCCTTTTGTACACTTGATAATGATTCCAATTCATTGATTGGGTTCTCCATGGCCTCCATGGAACAGGACAATAAATGATCAATAGATAGCCTTTGTTCCTATGGACCTCACTGATCTTGTATAGAAATGAGAGAAATATTCCCCCTTTTGGTCCCTGTAATGACATTAGAATAGCCTCTAAGAATGATTATTAAACACTAGAAGATCAGTTTTATACTAGTTTTGTACTTTTAACTACTTTATAATACTTCAGGAGTCAGACACAACTCAATAAACTTTCTTTGGCATACCTTTCAACCACTCCTTGAAATAGTTGGAATCTGACCTTGCAAACTTTAATAAATAAATGATTCCTAAGTCTCATCCTTATGTACCTTAAACAACTTACTCAGACCTTCATAGCTTGTAAGACCTTTCCAGTCTTCTTTATTCTGGAGCCATCTAGTCTTAATCTTGGTCATACATCTAAGTCCTTTTTTACTATGGTCATTTACATATTTATGTTCTTCTAGCATGTTCTTTTATGTACTTCTCCCTTTTTGCTAATATCATAATTACATAGGAACATTAACAAATATGTTTATGATCTGTTGTGAGAATTTTCTCCCCCATGGAAGGGGCAGAAGCAATTTCTATCCCATAACCATAATTCCCAATGAAGATACAAACTACAATTTCACCAAAGTCCATCCTGGGGACCAACCAGTGAGTTTATTGAGCTTACTTACTGAGCATGGTTGAAAAGGTACATACAAGGGGTTTTGATTCTGTGGTTGTTTGAATCAAAATGACCCCCAAAATCCCATGGAGAGGCACTATTAGGAGGTGTTGCCTTGTTGAACTATGAAATAATCACTTTCTGCTGCCTGCTGATCTGGATGTAGAACACTCAGCTCTTTCTCCATGCTTTCTGCCATGATGATAATGGACTAAATCCTCTGAAACTGTAAGCCAGGCCAAATCAAATATTTTCCCTTATAAGTGTTGCTGTGGTCATGGTGTCTCTTCATAGCAATAGAAGCTCTAACTAAGATACACAGAAGCAGCACAAGGCATGTCTCCATCCAGTATATACAATGGCTCTCCCATAGTTGCATATGTGGAGCTTACCTTCTCTCTACACTTCCACTGCCCATATACTCTCCATTACAATATTTTTCTCAGTGGACATAGGATGTAAGTAAGCCTTATAGCACTCAAGGTAAATTCCCACTTTTTTTTTTTTGGTTTTTTGAGACAGGGTTTCTCTGTGGTTTTGGAGCCTGTCCTGGGACTAGCTCTTGTAGACCAGGCTGGTCTTGAACTCACAGAGATCTGCCTGCCTCTGCCTCCCAAGTGCTGGAATTAAAGGCGTGCGCCGCCACCGCCCGGCTTAAATTCCCACTTTCAAAGATGTATTTCTCATAGGTGCTAACACAGAATCAAGATCCACTCAAATGGTTCCCTGGCTACATACTCTTGCTCATTCTTAAAACCACAAGGTCCCATGTCATTAGGGATGAATTGCATATAGTTGCCTGGAAAAGAGGCTGTGTACTAAAATCGAATGGGATGCTTTTTTCTTGATGGAATATCAACATTCAGCAAAACTGATGGTGGTCATCCTTTGTAAGCAGCCATGGGTGATCATGGGATGATACCAAATGTTTGTCTTAAGATAGTGCTGAGCAACAACAAATGAAAGAAAGCTGAATAGAAACTGTATATGATAATGTAATAAATTTGTTTTTCCTCAACTAAACATTAGATAAATACAAGGCATTATTCATATGATCCATGGCATCACTACTATAACCATGTTTTTGGGTTTTAATGTAAGTATGTAGTTGATTCCAAGAAATAGCAAATACATAAGAAAATATCATGTAATTGATGCTTACAGCATCCAGTACAACACAACTAAGAAATCCCTCTTAAAACTATGATGCTCCAGCTTACTCTAGAGAGTTACACAGGCAGCCTCTTTATCCATTCTATAAGTGAGTATCTCATTTGCTCTTTTCACTACAGACATGTATAAATAAACGTTAAATAAATATTTACATTTGAGCATCCAAATCTTTAATAGTCCTGATTAACATACTACTTGTCTTTGGGGTATTTCTGAGGCAGCCCTCCCTCAGCTAAATTCTACTTGGTGTGACTAACTCTCTCCTAAGCATTGGTCAATCCTTTATATCACCAATTCTAGTCTTCTACATTGCGACTTAGTACTGGAGTACTGCTCAGTACATGAGATGCCATTTACAACTTCCACAAATTAACTCCAAATGGACCTTACACTTAAATGTCAAATGCTAAGTGCAGAACTTCTAGAAAATACTTGAAACTAGGCGTCTCTGACTTTGGCAACCTGCCTAGGCTTTGGGAGGTTTCTCTAAGGCAATGATGTATAGAGAAACAGCAGAGCACTGTCTCTAATATCAGGAATATGCATGGGAGAGCTGGTAAAGATGTGGGGCCAGAGCCTTTGGAAAAGGGTTGTTTCAGATCCTCAAAACCCTAGACTTTTCACAGAAGGATGAAAACTGTGGTTATCAATTCTAGCACCACTGTGGACTTTGTTTATTATGTTCTTGATTTACCCAATATTCCTCTTGTGCAACATTGCCTGATTAGCCTCTTTCTGAATTTGTATACTTTTTTTTTAAACCAAACCCATTGATTTACCTTTGCAGGAGACTTGCTGTTGAATTTGATGTAAATCTCCAGCCAATCTGATATATGCCTGTCTTTATATTTGCAGCCAGTGCTGGGAATTCTGTGCTGTTTCCCTTCTGCTCACATGGTTTTGATACTTAGACCTCACTAACTAATCAGAGCCTCTAGAGGACCCGACAGTCAAATGGGAGGGTTCTGGGAGC